CTCGAGGCCAGGATCGACACACACAATGAGAAAGTACGTTTTGTGAGGGTTCTTACGGAAAGAATATATCCAAGCTAACATTCATGACAACCCTCTTGCGGGCAACATCGCAGCGAGCAACGAGGAGACGACGCAACAAATTTTTTTTTCTCTCCGACATCATTTGAAAGATTTCTTTTCTTTCTTCGTTAGGTCTTTTCACTTCTTTATTATGAGAAAGACCTTGGTCAACTTTTCATTTCTGATGTCTTTGCATATCTGTAGGGAGACGTGACCTCCTGGTCTGCTCCCAACAACACTTTCATCCTCATACAAATGAGGTTTCCCAGAGCACTCCAATAGTCAAGTCGTCTTCTCAAGATATATCCAACAGGTTATGACCTATGCTATTGAATCCTCTACATACTTGCAAGCTTCAAATCCTCTATTTCCTCCAATTGGTGCCCTGCGTCGCATACTCCACAGTGGGGCTCTGATCCCACAAGTCAGAATTTCCACGATCTCCATTGGCCGAAATCGGCACGTGGACGTACCTCTCACTTTCAATTGGTTAACCGTTGTCTCCACTGGCCGTTCGTTGATTTGATTCGTTGGCCACTCTATCTTTCAACCCAAAATTGTATGTTTTGTTTGCACTGCGGTCACGTTAGCTTTCTCGCCCTAATGCCGATTCATTGAAGCGGCATATGAAGAAATAGAACAACATAATATATCCACACTTACATGGTTGCGTAATATCGCGTGATGAACTACTCAACTAAAGCTCTTGAGGGAACACTCTCAGATTAAAATAGACTATAATACAAAGTCCAATACAACATCAACCGATTTCTCGCACGCAGTATATAGGCACGAGAAGCTGGGCGAAACAGATGGCTGGATTACTTATGTAGTATCGAAAATATTAGGATGAAATCTATTGAGAAAGTCAAGAAGGTGTATTCTGATGCGGTGAAAGTGGACAGAGAGGAGAGGAAGGAAGAGGAGGAACGGAACTAGCTACTCTAGCTAGTAGTGGGATCTGGACCCACTGGGTGACCGCCAACAAAGGGCATCAATTGTGATACATTCAGTTCTCGGCTATACCGAAGCGCCCCTCTTTCGTAAAAATTGCCCTTGACTTGGTGCTATAGGTCTACCTGAGGTCTATAGAACGGCTTCAGGATTTCGACACTCGCCAAAGAGATGAACGTCTATATACGGATTGAGTCAAGTCGATACAGCCGAGCGATACCCCCGACCGAAGCAAACAGGCAGACATATCGTGGGGGCCAGTCCGTGTGTTGAGAGATTTTCCAACGGTCCGAAAGCAGCATGGGTTAGCGAACGCACCCTGTCGGCCTACTTCCAGATGAAGTCGAAATCCCCTAGTAAGATCCCAGACACAAATCGAGACTTTTTTTGACATATGAGTAAAGCGAATGAGACTTGAGCAATCGGTGCGATGGGTGGAATCATAGTGGGAATAATGGAAAATAAACTTCAGTCAGTTAGTCGATCAAGACAATTAAAGTAGTAACATTGTTATCCAACAATGAATTGTGCCCATCAACCTCGGGCCAATGACCCGAATCGCCACTAGCCGTAGCTTATCTCCTAGCGTCGGGCCGAACTACCAAAAAGCGGATAGCCAAGAATCGAATGACGCGCGGCTTTCTCGTATGTTATAGGCCTGTCGTATATGAACGTTGCTTTTTCCGCTCATGCAGCCCGATCTGCGATCTGATAAAAGTTTCCGAAAGAGTCAATTTCTTCGCACTGCTCCTACCAGAGTAGGCTCTCATCAAGAATGCGACCACAATCGCTCCTCCCGATATTCGGGGTTCTAGCCTTATCAAATGCCCTCTCAGCAGCCCCAAAGAACGTGTCGATCAGCAATGAGAATCACATTTTCAACGTCATCCAGGACTCAATGCGCCAATGGGGATCGTCTCTGCACCACAATGGCGTGTCATTCTTCCTCGCGGCCGTTCCCGCCGGTACGCAGTTCTACCATGGAACCTCCAAGGCCAGTCCAGTGAATGGCACCGAGTGGTTGGCGTTCGAGCCCGAACACGCCATGGTCTTCGCCCGGCCCCGACGTGGCCCCCCGCCACACCTACCACCCAGTGATGATGATCCCGAGCCAGAGGATGGCAGCCATGGTGAGCTGCGGAAGCGTGAACACCATGGCGAGCCAGCTGGTCGCCCGCCGAAGATATTCGATGAGAATGAGTCCGGGTATTTGCATACGTATGCTGCAGCCAAGGATCTCCGCCTTCTGTATCTTGACGGTATGTCTGCCGCCAAGACATCGAAGGGCACGCTCGATTCTCAGGATACGGTTCTGTTCAACAGTTCGTTCGAAGAACCCCCGAGGGGTGGCGGGCAAGAGTACGAACGCGCCAGACTGGCCTGCGAGATGGCCGAGAATGAATGGGAGGGTCGCATTGACGGTGTGCTGCGCATGGAAGCTGGCTTTGAGATTATCCTCTGCAACTTTGAGCGCGATCTAACTACAGTGCGAATCACGCAGGTCAAGGAGGACACTGAGGAACACCGTGGACTTAGGGGTAACCGTGAACACGGTGACCGGGATGGTCCTCGCAGAGAGGGTGAAGACAAGCACCACGACGGTCATGGCGGAAGGAAGGACGATGATGGAAGGCGACACGGCCCCGGTGGCCCCGGCGGTCCGAGGGGTCCTGGTGGTCCTGGTGGTCCTGGTGGTCCTGGAGGTCCTGGAGGTCCTCCCCACGGCGGACCTGGAAACGGGCCCGACTCGTCGCGCTGGATGCGCGCAATCACCGCACGCTACAACGGAATCGGTGGGAATCGAGTGTCGCTGAACTTCAACCACTTCGTGACAGCCTTCTCCTACGACGTAGAACTCTTCCAAGACAATTCAACCCTACCCCGACTTGCCTACCTCTCTCCCGAGGAGCGCGCTGCTATCCGTGTCGAAGTCACAAATCTGGTCTTGACGCATCGTCCTGCCGATGTCTCCGAGGATTGGCAGGCGATTACGGATATGATCGTGACTCGGTACGGCGATGAGCTGTCTTACTTTGCTTCCGGCTGGATTCACTCAATTGAGCGCCTGCAGTCCGAGATTGAGCGTCTTCTGTCGCCGTTCATTGACTACAGTGCGCGGGATGATGTCGCTGAGATTGAGCGTTGTGCAACTCAGTTCTTGCCGCCGTTGTCTTTGAAGAGTGGTAGTATCGCGGCGCATGCTGTCCATGGTGTTGCTCAAAGAATCTGCTCGTCTCTGATTGAGGCTGGGAAGGAGAAGGAGCTTGACTCTGCGGTTCAGGTTCTTCGGGATCTGATCGGTTATCTTGATTGGGCGACGTGGAAGGAGTGCCGGGGTTGTGCAGCGAATGAGATTTGTGTGGTGCCTATTTGGCCGATGGGTACAATCGAGGACTATGATAGTCCAAAGTGCAAGGATGCATCAAATCCATACGACCATCGTGGAGAGAGCTACTGGGGTGGAATGCACCACTGAGTGATTTAATGTGGATCACTAGCCTCTGTTTTAGTTCGGGTTTTCGACCCTCTTCCAGCCAGACTTGAGATTCGCTGTTTGGACATAATTGGTTTATTTCAGGCATATATAACATTTGTTGAGGGTATATACAGAATATAGAACATAATAATGCTCAAGAAGTATGTAGAGTATGTAGAAGGGATTGACCATTTTGTTCGTCATTGTTGTATGTGGCAGTTCCAAAGCAAATCACGGAGTGATATTCCCTTTACATATAAGAAGCAAAATTGGCAAATGGTAGAAAAGAAAATCAGATCCCATCAACGGGAGAATATTTACTGGACGAGACCACCCTTGGCGGAGGAGACGATGGAGCCGACGGTAGTGCCAACGCTGCCAAGGCCGAGAGTGGAGAGAAGTCCCTGAACAGCGCCGTCAACCTTGATCAAAAGGACGGAAACCTCATCCTCGGCGTTGACAGCAATGAAGTTAGCACCAGGGATCTCGGGAACCTTGGACTTGAGCTCAGAGACAGAGGGAGCTACGGCGACGACGTTGCCGATGGGACCCTCAATGGTGGACAAGTCAAGACCGCTGAGGAGACCGACGACAGTAGGCTCAACCTGGACAAGAAGGTTCTTGCCACCAGCAAGGCCGTTCACGTCAGTGATGGAGAGAACGTTTTGTAGAGGGTCGTCGCGCTTGACGTTTCCAGTGATAGACTCAAGGCCGCCAACGATGGAGCCGAGAAGGCTGCCGACCTTGTGGAGGCCGAGGCTGGAGAGCAGGTCGACGACTTCCTGGGTCAGCTCGATGAGTGCAGCGTTGCCATTGTCGAGGAGGGCGGTAATCTGGGTGAGGCCGGAACCGGTGTTCGTGTCGAGCTTGTCGACAGACTCAGCCGTTTGAATGACCTGGCCCACTGGCTTCTCGAGAGCGCTCAAGGGCAGCTTGCTCATCAAGCTCTCGAGCTCGAACTCGGCCATCATTTCGATTTTCGAGGTTCCAGCCTGGTTGAGGATGGAAAGAACCTGGCCAGCACCGGTGGGATCAGGCAAGGTGGAGAATGAGGGAGTTGCGGCGACATCAGAGCCAGAGGGAATCATAGATGTCATCGGTAGAGGCATGCCCGAAGGGATGACACCGGAGGGCAGGCTAGAGGGAACTCCGGAGGGCAAAGAGCCGATGGTACCCGAAGGGATGTTGGCGGGTAGGGCCATAGCAGCAGAGGCCAGAAGGGCGAAGGCGAAAGACTTCATCTTATCGTTCAATGAGTGAAATAAGTTCAAAGACTTGTTTGGTACAAAGGAATGGACGGTGTGGACCGAGATTAAAGAATGACTTGATGGTAAGGAATGACAAGAAGAAAGTTCTTAGAATTCAAACGTCCCGACAAGACGACCCATTTTATATACGATAGCTGTCGGCATGGGATCAGCGTTGATGCGAGTCCGACCCCTCGTCTGTTGACGTCCTTGAGCGTTCTCCTGAGCTAACAGGTCTTGAAAGGGGACCGCTCATGTCGGAAATGAGACCGATGGGAGAATGGAGCAGTATCGTTCCTGTTTCATCGGCCAAGACGGAGGTAAGCTTCACGCTGAGTGGCTAACAAAGGCGCCCCCACACAAGATTGGGTCCGGCACATATTGCTAGCTCCGCTATAAGCTTCGTATGAGGTCCATCCTCATTAGCCACTTTGCAGATCGTTCACTCGGTGCAGGAACAAAGCCCAGGAGGGTCCCCACTCTGGCTGTCAGGATGCGGCCAAGATATCGATGGAATTCTCGTCTTTATGGGTCAAATGCAGATCACTTATGAGTCGGGAAACCCCCTGGTCGAGGTATAAAAGGAAGCATCCGCATTAGAGGGTAAATTGCCGTATATTCAGCTTAGCCTTCAAAATTCTCCGCACTCCGTAGCCTCACGACAATGAGGATTCCGAGCCCAAATTGTGATTGATCGAGTCTTGTGCAGCGAACCCTGAAAAGTCAAGCTGGGATCGACACGACTAGTACAACCGTGCAGATCGGAATCACCAATCATTTGTTGGTATCCTGCGCTAAGGTAACTTGAGATCAGCACTCTGTCCGCCAGAAAAGATTGTAAGAAGAAGGTTAAACCCAACGTAGGCAACACTAAGGTAGATTGCAATCTCATTCCTCCATAGTGGGTCGAAATGTCAAATAGTCCAGTGGGGCCGTGATTCCCGTCAGTTGCGTTGAGTTCTTTGTTTGCACCCCGAAAAACGGCAGGATTGCTGGTGATGATATCATCGTCGTGTCGGGTAGTGACAGGGGATCGACAGGGGTTACCAAAGTCGCGGGCTAACATGGATGTAGGTAGATGTTCACAGGTACTGCGAAGGGGCAGAGCGGCCAAAGGTCTTGGAACCAGGTTGGAACAGCATACTATTAGTAAGAGATGATTTAGAGAAAAAGTCCCATTGTCGTAGTGTCACGATTCGTTGTTACAGGGAGATTACAAAATCCGGGGAAGCGGGTCTGTGGGTTCACGATAGAATCAATACAACTTCATTTTCTTCCTTGAAAAAAAAAAAAAAAAGGTGGCCTTCCCCAATTTTGTGTCACAAGTGATAGGCAGATCTACTCGTCTAAACCAACCGCTTAACGGGATATATACACATGCGTTGTTAGCGAATCTCGACTCGGTCCTACCCCAAACGAAGGGACCAGGCGGGCCAACACCTGTTAGGATTCCTTTGTTCTTTGAGAACTCGCCCTGGCTCGAACGCACGCTCTCTCAGGTTCTGGCGGTCAACGGAAGGTACAGCCTTGGGCCCAGAGACTGCACCAACGGTCATATTCCACTGAGCTAAGTGGGGCTTGGGGTGAAATAACTGCCCGTTCTGTTCATCATAACAGAGCCTTTTTTTAATCTTCCTAGTGATTTGATTGGCTGGATCTTGTTCTTCTCAGTTAGGTAATCATGAAGCTATTCAGGTATTTGACCTTTGCCCGCTCTGCCCCCTCACCCCTCGCATACGTACTCCTGAGTCCTTACTCCGTAGTGTCACAGTGTCAACCTTCCAAAGTTGTAAATCTGAATATTCAATAATGTGAAATGACATGTATGTAATGACATGGATGTATCCAGGGAAGATAGTCAGGGGAGACCGTCAAATTAAACTTTGAGAGGGTCCGGGATCTCAGGGGTAAACTCACAGCACCTTTGGATCAGCACCCGGACATGCATTTGTTACTTTGATCTGCTTCTCGAAGCCAGGGTCTTACAGGGGAATATATGTATGTTGTGTATGAATTTGGAAATAATTTTATACAACTCTACCCTGATATATACATGTGTGATGAGCCTTCACGACCGTGCGAATTCTCAACCTCTCGGCAATGAATTACTACTTAGCAGGACAAAATCTTAGCGGCAGCGGCTTCAGCAACCACCATGACAGCAGCTTGAATGTTACCGGTCGGGAGATCGGGATGGATACTGGCGTCAACAATGAACTGAAAAAAGGGTTAGTATCATCTTTCGAGCAACGAAACATTCTTGACTTACAAGGTTATCCACTCCATAGACCTTGGTATTGGTATCGACAACGGAAGTGCCGCCCTTACGGCCATCATCGGTACCCATCTTCGCAGTGCCAGTGTAGTGGATACCAGCAGTTTGAGACCCCAAGATGGCTGAGACATTGGTGTAAGTCTCAAGCTCAAACCCGGTAGATGGAGCGGTGATGTTGTTGACCATCTTCTGAATAAAAGTGCGGGCGGCCTTCCGGTCAGCAGCGGTCTGGAGGTAGGGCGACTTCACAATGACAGTATTTCCGCTGGCGTCAAGTCCCAGGACACCGGACGAGGTGAGGCCGTGAGTCATGTACGTGGTGATGGTTACCACGCCCTCATCAGTGGGCGCGCACGAGCCCTGGTAGTACTGGGTGTGGCCATCAATCTCCTCCGAGGTGAAGAAGATCATGCGGTGCTTGCCCTGGGTCAGTACACCGCTGTGATTGCGGTAGAGGGAAATATCACGAGAGTCGGTTCCGTTAAGGACCCCCTCGTAGTCAACAAGACCAAATGAGGCGTTGGTGTTGAAGACGATCGAGAAAATGGGGTGGTCCTTCAGACCGACACCAACAGGCAGGTCAATCCACTGGGCCTTGGGAGGAACGGTAACTCCGCTCTTCTTCGCAGTCTCAATCTGGGCCTGGCCACCAATACCAGAGTTCCACAACAGACGCGGAGTAGATAAAGCACCGGAAGCCAGCACCACGCGACCATGTGGGGCAATAGTGATGATCTCAGAGCCGCCCGAGGCAGTCTGCACCTCGACGCCAGTGACCTGACTACCGGAACGGACCAAGCGAATGACTTTAGTTTGAAGAGCAAGGTGGAAGTTATCTAGCTTGGTAGCATCGGGTAGATATGTGCGAACAGGGCCAGCACGCATCTGGTTCTTCACGTTCCAGGCCGGGTAGCTGTAGACCTGGTGCTTCTCATTCGGCTGGGCGATCATATCCACCGACTTCCAACCAAGACCACCAAGGAACTTGGACAGCACACCGTAAAGAGCCTGGTCATATCGCTTGCCGTCGGCAGAAGGCAGGATGGTTCCGGGGTTGCGCTTGTAGAGTCGGTCTGCAGCCGACTTGACATCCTTCCACTTCCAGCCCTTGGGCCACTTGTCATCGAAGTCGCGGGCTGGTGGGTGGACAAAGACCATGTAGTTGACTGTTACACCACCGCCGAGCACACAGGCAGCAGTACCAGCAGTGTCGGTACACACATACTGGTTCCAGACATCGAGCGAGCCGATGTCAGCCGACAGTCCCGGGAGATCGATGGGAGTCAATGAGTGGTCCCATGTGAGGGTCTCATTGTTTCCGGTGGCCACCGTTGGTCCGACACCTCGCTCAAGGAGCAGAACTTTCTTTCCTGCCTGGGCGAACTTCTCGGCGCTGATGATTCCGGAAGGGCCACCACCGACCACAATATAGTCATAGGTGTGATTCTGGAAGACGGAAGCGGAGGCAGCTGCTGTAAAAACAGAGAGAGAAATGGCTAGAGAGCCAGCTTGGAAGATCCTCATTTTGACGTGTACGAGGGAATAAGATCTCTCTATGAAATCCCGATCTATAAATCTTGTCGGGGGAGTTGGCCATTTTAACTGTTCCACAACGAGTCCGTCACACCGGTACAGTCAAACTCGGTGGATCAATTGTTGAAGACTTGGCACGCGAGCGAAACATGGCGAAACATGGCTCCTCGTGGGTTTAATTTCGTCGAATGTCACCGATTAGGTATAGTGCGATCAGATAAGAGAACTAACTTTTCTTGTTCCTGAACCAGCCCACCGGGTGAACATCTGGAATTTTCTGGGTTCTTGTCTGATAATCATAGAGAAAACATAGCACGCCTTGAAACTACACTATACTTTGTTGTACGCCAAATTAGGTATGTTGGCCTTGAAGTTGTAGCGCTTAAAGTGGCGCTGTTTTAAGAAGTCTCGGACCGAACGTGCATCCACTTCAATCATTACTTTGATTCAGTTCTCGGAGTAGACATACCGAAAGGGTCTGTGTTCCACTCATTCTTCCGGGATAGGGTTTCCCCAGCCAAGTCTGCCGCTGACGTAGAGATAATAACCTCGAGCTTTAGCTATATTTTTCTGAGCTTTGATTAGTGTATCCCATGGAAGAGGCGTCAAGAAACAGGGCATTGATCAAGTTCCCTTTCTCTCTCAGCCACCGTCCCACATATACCTTGGTACTTCTATTGTAGATACTGGTATGTCACAAAGTTCTAGAACACTTACCAAGTGGATAGTGGATATCATGAGAATTCCTAACGTCCTTACCAAGCATTCAATAAGCAGAATTGCCGCGAGACCCACTTCGATTAATCATGCATTATCAATTTAGGGAAGTAGTAACAACCTGAGGGTTCCATCCAGGCAAGCTCATACTTTCCAGTCGGCATGTTTTTCTCCCGCGCCGAAATTCTGCTAGACATGCTGACCCACACAGAACGGGGCGAAGCTGTCAGATATGCTATGCTGTACTCCATATATCGTAGCAGTTATATCCTCGCCTTTCCAGGAACATCCGGTTGGCTCGGATCGTATCGCGATTCAGTGATGGTAGTAGTGCCGACAATAGGCCGAACCATGAATTTCCTTTGAAACACATCTTCGTTTCATATAGTAAGGGGCGAAGCTTGCATAGTGACCCAAGAGAATATCGGCAAATGGACAGATAATCGGCTATTGCTAATAATGCAGGCATCAATGTAAAACTTAGAAATATGAGTGGAGGGCCGCTTATAAGCTCGCGTGATCATTACCTTTGTTAGGAAACCAGGATTTGAGATATATATCTCCAAAGTTCACTGTATAGGCTCTTGTTGCTGTACGTCTCGACTAAAGCCTTGCTCCCCACCATAACTTTCAATGAGTACGGGCTTGTGTCTGACTCAATTCAATCAACAGAGAACTAGTTGGAGACATACACTAGGTATAGCATAGAACATGACGTCATATGCTATGAGCTTGTGGTTTGAGTTGAACAAGTCCATAATCAGTCTCTAACTATGACAGTGATCAATATATACGGACTTATTGCTATTGTCAGCAACACACATTGAGATATTGAGGGTTTTGTAAATTCCCGCTTGAATATGGGACAAGATGGGGAAGAGGGGGTCAACAAAAGAGTGGGGCCAACCGTTGCGGGAGCTCAATCTCCAACATCCCTTGTACCGACCAAGGCGAGATCACGCTTGAGATCACTCTCCTCTAGGAACAAAATGGCGGGGTCAGCCGGCCGCCTTATACCGGCATCTTCACGCACTCTTCTCCTCACCTTCGACGCGTTCGGCACCCTCTTCCACCCGCGTCTCCCCGTCCCCGAGCAATATGCCGCGACCGCGCACCAATTCGGATTATCGCGCACTGCCGTCACCCCGGACAAACTTGAAACCGCCTTCCGGGACACCTTTCGTGCGCAGTCGCATCAGTACCCGAATTACGGTCGCGCGGAAGCTCTTCGAGGTCAATACGGGGGGCCGAGGCAGTGGTGGGAGGAGGTGATCAGAGGGAGTTTCAAGCGTGTTTTGGCTGCTGAGGATGGAGAGACGCGCCCCGGAGGCCCAGAAGAGCATATCCCTGATCGCATGGTGGAAGCCCTACTAGATCGATTTGCTGGTTCCGAGGGGTACGCGCTCTTTGACGATGTGCTACCCTTCTTCCGCCGAATGCGCAAACTAAAGGCCGCGCATAAGTGGTCGTTTGATAGGATCATTGTGGGCGTGGTATCGAATTCGGATGACCGGGTGCCCGCTGTGCTGAAGTCGTTGGGGCTGACAGTTGGTGATGTGCGCGCCGACCAGGATCGATCGAGTATGGATCTTCCTGGGTTTGAGGGACGAAGTATCAACAACGATGCTGCCGGGGAACACGTTAAAGATCATGCAAACCGCAACTTAGACCTCGATATCGATATGGTCATTACGAGTTATGAGGCCGGTCAACCGAAACCTCATCGCTTGATCTTTGACGTGGCGAGACGGCAGGCTCTAAAGGTTGCCCGCCCATGGTTGACCAGCAGAACCAAATTTAGCTCCGTGCATGTGGGGGATGATTTTAAAAAGGATACTCAGGCTGCAAGGGATGCAGGCTGGGAGAGCTACTTGCTTGTTCGAGATCATGTTAGTTCCAATGAGTTTGACTCGAAGGAACTTCCAGATCTCCTGAAGTTTGCAGATAAATTGGAGCTTTTTCCATAAAAGCACTGGCCACAGCGAGCAGATTAACAGTTGAACTTGAACAAAGTCAATCATGGACAATTTCATGTCGAACCACAAGTCAGGGAAATACCTACGAAGTTCCCCGAGCTCTAGGGAACATCACATGCCCTAAACTGATACAGCGACAACATACGAAATCCTTGACAGACCATGCGTCTGTGCTCCTCACCCTCGGGCTTCAGCATGATGCTTCACTTCCTGAAACACACCACACCGCTTTTCTCTACATTAGAGCTTCCTGGCACCGATGACCTGGATGGTTTTGCTTCTCCACAAACACTCAAAGCGCAATCTCGAGGCCAGCCTCAAAAATCATGCCGGTTTCGGGCTTGGTTCATTCGCATCCACGACAGGGTCTATTCTTTCGGACTGCCTACAGCACCGAAATCAATTGAAAATAGCTGCCCGAACGGCCTCGCTCGATTTGTTGACGTCAATGTGGTTGGTTGTATTGCTCTATTTATTACTGTGGAGGAGCACAAAGTAATAGGAAGTAACTATGTGGTGGATATCTAGATAGAAAAATTATATTCAAAAAGATTGTATATCTAGTTAGCTATTCCATTTCTTTGCGAGGCTGCATCCTCCATTCAAGATAGAGATCAGCTGCTCTTTTATACAAGGCGATACCGAAAATGGCTAGTTCAGGTCCGCCATATACACAACCAATCAAATTCCCGCACGGCGTACACCCCGCATATCCGGTGCGGACAAGACACCGAACTGCGCTTGGAACTCCGTCCTGGTTCACGAATTGGTCCTGCTTCATTACCTCGAAATTTATCGCAGCCCTAAAACTCGACGCGGAAGTCCCACTCTGCTTTGACATTCAAGATGGAAGGCGTTCAAAAGCCACAGGGGTCTGTTGTAATCATCGGAGCTGGTACTCAAGGTAGACGTCTTGCGCACATGGTAAGTGCTGATATTCAAGACCATTAACATCTGTCTTGGTATTAACGTGTTGAAGTGGTCGAGCCGAGGCGGCACCGTCCGTCTGGTAGATCCCCAAGAGCAACAGCTTCAAGATGGTCTGAAGTACGTGGAACAACTTCGTGCGGATGCTACCAACCACGAAGGGGATTGGGGGAAGATTGAGACATCCCAGCCCTCTTCTTTGCAATCTACACTGAAAGATGCATGGCTCGTTGTTGAGGTACGACTTGACTCTTTACCGATAGGACTCATCCATTGACACAGCTTGACAGTGTGTGCCGGAGAACTTGGACCTTAAGCGAAAAGTTATCACTCAACTTGATGAGCTTGCACCCGAAGGCACAATTATTGCTTCGAACTCGAGTAGCTACGGAATCTTTGAGATTATCGAGGGCATGAGCTTGAAGAACAACAAGAGAGTTATGAGCGCGCACTGCTGTAGGTGACTATGACTATATGCTAAATGGAATACTTCGCTAATACCTAGTGTCAGATTGGCCACCAGAAACATCCGGTAATGCCTATTCCAAATTATAGCCTTTTCTTCAAATTGCTAACTTGGGAGTCAGCAATTGAAATCATGGGCCACAAGGATAGCGATCCTAAGCTGATTGAGCTCGTCTTGGAGCAATGTAAAGAACATGGGTTCTCGCCTTTCTACGTCAAGAAAGACTCTGTCGGCTATATATACAACAGGTGAGTTATTCTTCTCTCTCTATTACTACACGACCAGGTTTCTAACAATGTTCAAGAATCTGGGCTGCTATCAAGCGAGAGACTCTACTCACATTGTCCGAGGGTGTTGCCACACCCAAAGAAATCGATGCTATTTTCAAAGACGTCTTGAAGACGCCCAAGGGCCCATGTGAACAGATGGATGTTGTCGGCTTGGATGTGGTGTTGGACATCGAGAATCACTACGCCGAGTCTCGGAGCGGGATTCCTACAGAGCCGCGAGACTACCTTCGGGAGATGGTTCAAGGTGGAAGTCTGGGTGTCAAGAATGGCCGGGGATTTTACGACTATGAAGAGCAAAAGAAGTGAATGTTTCTATAGACTATATTGATCCATTCCATCGTTTGATATGAAATGCCCTCTTATAACTTAATAGTGAAGTCCCACTATAACCATCGAATCAGCTCTCAGATCCGCTTGGTACCTCAGCATCATTGGTCTAGTGGTAGAATTCGTCGTTGCCATCGACGAGGCCCGTGTTCGATTCACGGATGATGCACATCTTTTTTTTGCTTTTCTTCGTTATAGAGCAGAAAGAGAAATACGTAGTTTTCTCGCCTTTAGAAAGGTCGTTAGAGAATTATGCAAGCTAAATCGTTGATTGAATGACTATGTAGCGGATCTATCATGAACAAAACGCCTAATGCCCAAATCCATGTTACCCTAACCCCGGGAAATCAATCCCATTCCATTCCATCATAACATAACAAGGCAAATCCGTGCCCATGCAGAAAGAAAGACATCAAAATTCATCATCCACTCAGTCCCATTGGCCCTTATCCAACGCACCCAAACCACCACCAGTATGCTTACCCAGCAACTTGGCAATGTTGGACCCCCCGCTGCGCTGCTTGATGCGGAGCTCCTTTTCACGCTCACGCTCACGCGCAGCTGTGTATGAGTTGACGGCACCGCCCTTCTTAGGACCCGAAGCTGCAGGTTTGGTGACACGGTTGGAGGTGGTCGAACTACTGGAAGATGAAGAGCCAGATGTAACACGACGTAGAAGTTGAGGAGGGCGGAATCCAATATGACCCTCTCCACCGCTGCCGCTGTAGAATGCAAGCTTGGAGTTTGCAGGACCAGAGTTGGTGGATGTGGCGGAGTTGGACGATGCTTGTCGGAGGAGTGCAAGGCGGTCGACCACGACTCCGCGCGTGCGGCGTGGGTGGCTGGGTTTGATGAAGGTATTATCCGATTGCGGTTGATCGTCATCGGCTTGGGCTTCTTCCGCGCCGGGAGTTTCATCATCTCCTTGCTCGTGTTCTGCCTCATCAAGTGAAGCATCGTCCTGGAAGGAGTCGTATTCGAAGGTTTCAGTGAGGAAGGACAACGTTTCGCGGATCTCTGCTATTGTGGCTGGTTTCTTCGACATTGCGCTGGCAGGGGTGCGACGGAGGCGAGGCGGCAGACGATTGGTTGCATCTTCAGCTGATGGCTCGAGAGGGCGCTTGCGACTCTGACCATCGCTCGTCGCATCATTCGACTGCTCTCCTGAAACGGGAGCCTGCGGAGTTTCTGCTTGGGAGCCGTTCTCTTCTTCCTCTAAGAAGTCGATATTGAAGTCATCATCAATTTCGCGATCCTCAACTGCCTTGAAGAATGCTGCCTTCTTGGGGTTGTCGGCAATCTCGCCGATTTTCTCGTCTGCAAGCAGAGCGCGGCGCATCTTAGCGAACTCGCGCTGCTTTTCACGACGACGAGCTAGGAGCTCATCATCCGAGTCATCAAGATCAAAGTCGTCATCCACGTTTTTGCGACGACGGAGGGCTCCAGTGGTGATGTCTCTCATCAATTTGGCGACATCTTTCTCATCGCGGTTGCGGTCGTGAATCCTATAATAATGTTAGCATCTTCTCATTGAAAATATATCAAGTTTTAACGTACGCGTTGAGTGCGGCCAATTGCTTCTCATCAACCACCTCGCCACTGTTGTCATTGATCATTTGGCGATCAATGGCATTTTCTTCGCCATCGCTTTCGTCACTGTGACCTCCAAGGCCTGCGTACTCATCTTCAGATTCTTCGGCTGCCTCATCGATAATATCTTTCGCCTTGCTGGTTTTCTTGTCGTATTGCATAGCATGATTCTTCTTTACAGCCTTATCTTTCTTCATCACGTTGAAAGCGTTGGCGTCGATTTCAAAGTCACCTTCGTTATCATTCTCGACTTGAAGAAGTTCGCTTGCACGTCCTCGCCGCAACATTTTGCGCTTGCGTTCAGCAATGGGCGATTGAGTTTGACCCACAAGGACCGTGTCGATGGTAGACATGGGTGGGGTAGCCTTGAATCTTTTTGCAGGATCGAATGGTGAGAATACAAAGCCCTCATCCTGGGTTGGGTCGGGCAGCTGGGATTGGGAAAACTCCGAGAAGGCATATGGCGCAGGCGACTCCGATACTCGGGTCACACTCTGCGTGTAGGTCTCCATAAAGTATTTATCCTGGGTCTGCGGCTGGCTGTCCGGAACAAGAACCTCCGAATCCTCCTTTCGAAGTTGAGGAACAGGCTGACCAGGGTCTGGGAGAGAGAATGGTATGGTGGCAGATTCTTCTTGGGTGCCAACGCCATTGCCATCCAATGTGGAGGCAAATGCCTGGGTGAGACCTAGGGCCATATCGCCTAGTGTGCCCATGCCAAGGAAGTTGGGTCGTTCGACGGATTGCGGGACAAAACTCGGGGCTCTCACAGGCGTTGAGGGTGCTTGTAGTTGATCATCATCTTCGTCATCGCTAACTACTAGAGTTCGTCGCTTCCGTCTCAGGGCAGGCATCTCGTTCTCTGCATCTGAAGGAGCGACCTCACTCTCGTTATCAGCCGAATCGTTGTCTTCATCGGCCTCCTCTTCACCGAGATCCCCGCCACCATTGACGCGCTCGTTTTCTTCCTCTTGGTCATCTTCATCGTCTGCTTCGACATCACCCTCCTCATCAGAGCCGGAAAGCTCGTAGTCATCATCCCCTTCTTCATCGTCGTCACCGTTGGCCTTCTTCAAAGCAGCTTTCTCTAGTCGGCGAATTTCATCTCCCTCCTTGCGCGCTTTCTCGACAAGGTTTTCCATATCATCTTCCATCGCTGCACGCTCCTCGGCTGTTTCAATGACAACTCCCTTGGACCTGAGCTCATCCAGCCGCTCCTGGCGCTCCTTGGCCGCTTGCTGTCGGGCCCGCCATAATAGATTTGCGGAAAGCTCTGCGGAGTTCATGGAAGCCATTTTTCGGGTAGGAGATGTCAGGTGTGCCAATGCCTTGAGCTTGGTCATAGAGGGGTCTTCCTGTGCCTGTCTGGTAGGCAAGTTTTCGAACGCGGCAATGCCACGGCACTTGCCAGGGGATGTTATCACCTCAAGATCGCTATCGGAATCGTCTGCGTCGTTCTGGTGCGCAGCAACCTCTTGTCTGGAAAGCAGCACGCGGATAGGTCGTTGTGTCAGTGTTCGGAAAACTCTCTTCGATTCGGCACCCTCGGATTTGAATTCGGGTACAGAGGCCGAGACATCTTGAACTGGAGGGCCCTCGAACAATTCAGGATACTGATTTGGCGCCATGAGGACGTTCGGATCAGGCAAATCTTCATTGTCCGTATCCATATCCATATCCACATCCGTTGCTTCAATTTGAGCATGCTCAGAATTAGCGGTCGACTTAGTGGCATCCAAATGGCCGAGAACTGGAGAAGTATGCGGAGTGTCTTCGGTTTTGTTGCGTAGTTCTCCGTCAGAGGAATTTTGTGATCCGACCGCTGACGATGAGTTTGCCGCGAGCTGCTCGACCGGGGGATCGGGTTGCATAAAGTTGAATTTTGCGAAGAGGCTTTCCTTGGTGATCTTCTTTATTGTCTTGGCCTGGTGAGCTAATTGCATGTTACGGCTCATTCGCTGAGTCTCCTGCTTCATCTCATCCAGTGCCTTTTTGCTAGCTTTCCGGGGCTGACGAGCCTTCTGGGAGAGCTTGCTGGCAGAACGAGGATCATCAGCACCGCTCTCCTCGCCTGAGACTATCTGTGAGCTGAACTGTTCCAGCTGAACTTTTCGGATGGCCTTCTTGGTTTCGGCATCGGCCTTCTCGCGCTCCTCACGTTCCTTGCGCTTTTGGGCAACAAGAGACAGGAAACGGGCGTTTCCTCTAGGCTTCTTCCCTGCCGCATTTTCTGTGTCTTCGTTTTCGGTGTGTGGATCGTCATGCGGTTCGCCTGGAGAGGATACAAAGAGAGGAGAGTCGGCTCTTAAACGGGAAGGGGTTTGGCTCGTTCTGTTGTAGGGCTTGGGGGAGTTGGTTGTGGATTTGTGCTTTCTCCTCGGACCGGCCGTAGGTAGATCATCATCACTAGATTCGTCGCTGGGTGTAGGTTGTGGTTCTGTCTGCTGTGGCTTCTCGCCCTGTTCTTTTTCTGATCGGAAAGCCTTTGACACACGGGCAAATGCAGAATTTCCGTCCTCAGTTTCAGCTGACCTGGCATTACCCTGTAAACGAGCAGCCATACGGCCTTTTGGTCGGAAAACCTCATCCGCACTGGCTGATTCGTCTGAGTCGTGCAACAGGTCATTCTCGCGTGCATTAGCGTTCCGGACTAACCCACGGCCTAGATCAAGCTTCGAGACAGCATCTGTTGACTTGGCAATTTGAGTATCGTCCTCCGAATCGCTATCGAATGCCGCCATCATAGCCTTGATCTTCTGGCCAGGAGTGATAATGTTCGGCGAATCGCCCGCGGGCGACACGGAACGCGTCGACCGTGGTGTGGATGGCGAGGACATGGCGCGAATATTATGGTGAATTATGGTGTGTCTTAGGAATTAATTCCCATACTGATATCAATTGTACTTGGAGGCAATCCTTAAGACGTCCAAGGTTCAGAATGAGGTGGAGTGGACGCTAGGTTCAAGGGCACATAGTCTGAACGCGAGGCGCGTTCCTCGCGTTGCTAGGTCATACACGTGACCTTATCTTACTTATCGCCTCATTTCTCTCAAGCGGACGTTAATTGATTATGGATATTTATTGTTACAGTGATTATGGAGATGAGTTGCAAATGATATTTTCTCTTTTTAATCTATTTTTGCGGGTTTTTATTATTTTCGAATTATCTCTTCCGGTAGATGAATGCTGCGCTCCTAACATCGACCGGAGTATTGCTCATGCTGCAAGCTTGATGCCATTTTCTGAATAGACGCCGAGACCACCCATGGACTCCTCAAAAATCGCGCAAGGAAAAACAAAAAACAAGGCAAAGATACAATACAATTCGGGCAAGGCTTTAGGCCAGTCACCGGAAAGAAATGTACACTTGTTCGGGGAATAATGGAATCTCATAACCAGAGAATCTTTCTCACACGTAGTAAATCGGTTCACCAAACAACAGACTGAACTGAAGAGCAGGAAAAGACGGCATTTTCGAATCAGACTAGATCTCGATGTCGATGTCCATATCCAGCGCTGCAATGTTCTCGTCATCGGTGTTGCGGTAAGTAATCATGAAGCCGTTCTTGGGCTTCTTTGTAGTTATGCGAGGGGCGGAAGCTCCCTTTTGCACGGCTTTTGCGGGGGTATCTTTTTGATTGTCCACAGGAGCGGCGTCGGCAGCAGCGGGTTTGGGTGTTCCGTTGACATCGTGGTGAGTTTTCGCCACGGTTCGCACGCGCATGAAGGGATTCGGGGCAGCCTCTCCACGTGCAACAGCCTCGGCTGCCTTTCTAGCGGCCTTTCTCTCCTCCAGCTGAGCACGGCGAACGTTCTCAATGTTAAGCTTCTGGTTGCGAAGGTTCATCAAGTGGACTCGTTCGGCTTCCGATAGACCCCTATCGACCTCTTTCTTGACAAGGCTTGTTCCCCAGGATAGGGTCGGATTGACCATTTTCTGCAGTTCTGCGTCGATTTTCTCGGCCTCCTCCATGTCTCCGTTGACCTTGGCGAATTCTAGGTTTCTTTCGAGTTCGAGCCGGTTGAGCACGTTCTTCTTGTGGTCGAAAGCACCCTGGCGACGGAGTTTCTCGTTCAACTCCTCCCGAGTGAAAGTATGGTTGAGGAGACGGTTGATATCAGCGACCTTGGACTCAACCTTGCCCTTTGTAGCCAGCTTGCAATCCTCAACAGCGAGAGTCTGAACGTAACGGCGGTACTCGGCCTAATTGACTGTTAGTTGGCTTCCAAGCTTCGAAGGGAAGGAACAAACCTCAGTAAGTGGAGAGTTGGAGAAAGTGACAAATGGGAAGTCCCTGACAGACTTTCCATGTGCCAGCTTGACATACTGATCCGTGACAAATGAGCGGCCGTTTTCGCCCTCCAAGGCGTACGGCTTGCCCTGAGAGATTCCTAGGGAAATGTCAGCGCGCACAAACAAGCGAGGCAGCATAAGTTCTTACCAGTAATCAGGCCCAGGCGATATTCATTCTGGCCGGTCTCCGGGTGCGGGCCAATGCTCAGCCGAGCGTAGCAGCCAATCATAGCATTCTCAAATCCAGGGTAGAAGCAAACTTTGGCAAAGTTATTACGTCCAATTTGAGCGCGTCGAATTTCGCGAAGCTCGGCGGGCGGGTCATCCTTGGGAATCGCAGCAGACTGGCCAACGCGGTCATCCAATTCAAGATCACTCTCGGCATCAGCATCTTCATCCGAAATATCAGACCCCATGGAGCGCGAACGGCGGCGCGACTTTGTAGGGTCTCGGCGACGAAGTTCATCCCGCTTGCCCTTTTGCTCACGCTGGCGCTTGTAGGCCTCGATGGCTCCGGACGTTTCTCCTACTTTGCGACCACCAAGAGTGGTCTTCTGGCGCGAGCTCTTGCGCTGGTTGTCGTCCAAGCCGGCGGACCCTGCCTTTCGCTTGGCTTTCTTGGCTGCTCGTGCTTCCTCGCGCGAGCGAGATGCTAGAAGGCGGCGTAGAGCCAGATCTTGGTTGTGGCGATCGACTTGCTGGGCACGTTCGGACAGGGTTTCCTCGCGCTGGATCTCAGGCATGGCCATGATGTCCTTCTTATCCTGGGCCGAGTAGTACAACTTTTCATATGGGAAAATGGGGCGATCCGCATCGTTGTCATCCGAATTGTCGGCCTCTGACTCGGACTCGGACATGGGGGCGGACTGAAGCGAGTGACGAGATCCATCGTCAGATCTAGATATATTGTCAGGTCAATGAGACTCTTGGCTATCAATATGGAGGGGCACTGCTCACACTTCACCCTCGGATTCATCCTTGGGCTTGCGCGATCGGCGGCCCACTGATTTAACAGTTCCTTTGCGACCCATGGCTGCAGGTGAAGTACGGTCTTGGGTGTGTGAAGAAGCTGAGTGCGCTGGTGATTTGGGGGGTGGTGAAGTTTCCTCCTCAGAGTCACCCGCCAACGCGAGCAGCTCGGCATCCAAATCGTCTGCCATTGTGAATATCGAACGCAGTTATACCCTCTCAACAGAACTCAATCAATATGAGACCTATAACAACAGGCATTCAACAGCACTATGACAATAGGAGTATTCGTACTCCTATAGACTTCTTCCCTCCTTTCCAGGAGTCGTTCCAAAAATGGAGAAGTAGGCAAGAGGGGCGAACGGTGGCCCAAAATGCCTGTTCTGAATGAAGGAATGTCCCAAATTTGACAGACTCTCTGTATAAGGGACAAAGGGAGTACGGAATGGAGGATATCGTAAAAAAGCACGTCGATGGTCGTCGCAAGTTGGCCTTAGCCGTCAACTTCATGACGTTCAATGCCAAGCCCGATATTAGGCGCGCGGTAGCGAGAAGGCGGTCTAAGCGACGAATGCGCGACCTCCGAGCTTCGTACCTCGAATCGCCTTCATTAGTAGCCTAATTTAATTCCTCGATGTTGTCTTTACCTATTCTGCGCAGGAGCGCCTTGTCGCATTGCCGATATTCTGCATCGGCAGCCACTCCCATTTTCCTTGATTTCCTCGTGCCGTCAACATTTAAGCATGGCCAATGTCGGCAGGCGTCAACTACCGCCGGCACCCCCGGCGGCTCCAAACCTCTATATGTTCTCAGCAAAGAGCAACGGGAATTCATGGATGGCGCCCTGCGAGTGAATCAAGCCGGCGAACTCGCCGCGACGCTGATCTACAAGGCGCAAACGCCTCAGATCGTCCGCTCATACCCGCACCTCCGACCCTTGATGAAACACATGTACGACCAGGAAGCAGGGCACCTCAAGACCTTCAACCATCTCATTGCCAAGCACCAGATCCGTCCGACTGCTATGTATCCGGCATGGGAGGTAGCGGCCACATTTTTGGGTTGGTCGACTGCGGCATTGGGTCGCGAAGCTGCGATGGCGTGCACTGAGGCCGTGGAGACTGAAATTGGATCACACTACAACGACCAAGTAAGAGAGATTTTGTCCTGGGAGGCTGATGCCGAGAAGCGAGGGGAGGAGCTGGATGAGGAACTCAAGGAAATGTTGGCCACATTCCGGAGAATTCGTGACGAGGAACTAGAACATCTCGACCATGCGGTGGCCAACGATTCAAAGGAAGCGAAGCCCTACGATCCGCTCGTCGATGTCATTCGTTTTGGATGCAGGGCCGCTATCAAGATCAGCGAGAAGATCTGATCTGGTAATTTGGAACGCATGTGCTGGGGTTGCCCTGCCATATATATATTGTGCCGTCTAGGACCATGTACTATACCGACTACTTCTCTCAGTATTGCTTGCTATACTAAACATTGTACATTCTAATTGCCGGTTATGTGCCCGATCTAATCTATCACTCGCCGCAGGGTATCAATAAATAACCGCCTTCGCTAGGCTCATGGTCTCTGACTTTTATCCCCAGTGTGTGGCCAGCACCGCTCATTCATCAATGAGCTCTCGCCCCAAGTAATCCACGAAGTTTTGGGTGAATCTCACAACCTGCTGGTAGACCTCCTCGAATCCATTAGCACCCCCATAGTAAGGATCATTCACCACCTCACCACCGCCAATGCGCTCGTGCAGTTTTCCACCCTTGCCGAAATCGCCAAATAATCGCACCTCAGCAACCTTCGCATCCGCCCCGTATGTACCGATAGCAGCATCCACATGCGACCGCGTCCTCCTTGAACTTGGCTTGTTGTCTGTCTTCCTCTGCAGAGTCGCAATGACGGAGTCGCGCACATCCTGCAGCTCGCGGAGATTGGACTTGTCCATGGCGAGGAGGTAGTCAAAGGTGAGGAAGTCTTCCCTTGTCACTTTTCGGGCGGCATGCTCGTAATCGTGGATTTTATGGCGGCGCAGCGTAGCCATGGTGCGGGAGTCGGGCGGTTCGAGGCTGTGATAGGCGGCTGTACCAGCGGAGTCAATCTCACCGATGGAGGGGTGGGCGCCGGCCAGGTTACGGAACACTCCTTCGGCCATGGGGGAACGACCTAGACAGGATTAGCATGTCGTAATAGCGGAGAAGAACCGAGTTGATGACGAACAGATGTTTCCCAGGCAGACAAATAACACTTTAGCAGGCCGCGCATTCGAGTCGGAAGCCATGGTGGGGTAGCAGGGATGACAATGGAATCTTGATTTTAAGATTTTCAAGATATGCGGAGCAAGGAAATATATGCAGAACTAAGAATCAAAGCAGGCGACAGTATACAATTTTCATGAGGGTCGAGTTTGGGTGCAAGGCGGGGGACATAGACCCTGGTTGGGGTCTCCACCCCTGGGAGAGCCATGGATATACAACCGTTGTCTTCATTCGACGTTGACTTGCATTGCTACACATATGTTGTACATCATAAAGCAGGAACAAGCAAGAAATGAGTTGTAGATTGGCAGCTGTCTTTTTTATTTTTATTTTTTTCTTCCAATTAAAAAAAGAAAAGACAGTAGCCCACTATGTCACCTCCAATGACCTCAGATCTAAAAAAAGAAACTGATGGCTGAGGGTGGATGAGCCACAAGTGACAAGCCCGTGTGGCTGAGTTCCAGTCAGTTGGCCCAGTAACACCGTCCAAGTGGAGTTTCGTGGAGTTTCTCCTCTTCAACAACCCGTGGCTCACTGGTTTCAGCACATCCAGGGTTCCTGAATTGCAATATCATTAGGGCTTTTATTTCTGAATCGGAAGAATCTGTTCCCCCCTCCTGCCCCCGACATCTCTACGGTGTATACAGGCCTAATCAGTGTACGGTATCTCCACAAGGCACACAAGGCAGTGCGGAGCCGCAAAGACACATCTGATTCGCCCCAGATCCACCATCATTGCCGGAATCAAAGGCGTCGTAAACAACAGTGCGGCCAAGCCGGAGTTATTCCACATTTTTTTTTAAAGCTGTTCTTCTTCACCCTCCGCGCGGTCTTGTGACAACCCAAAATACATATACGGAGTATCATCTCCTTATATCGAATTTCGCTTGCGATCTCCCTTCTGAAACAACGCCGAGAACTTGCATACGTCAATTGGACTAGTGATTCCTCCCGCTGACGCTTAAATCCCACTCAGCGCTCCTAGCGCAATCTCCAACAACCCTGTTACGCACTTGGGGCGGGATAATTTCGCTGAACTCCATTCTAAGGCCCCAGCATTATGGCCTACAATCGTGTGGACGCCGGTCAGTGCTTCTCTAGTTTTATTGGACCTTTCCTCCTCCATTTCTCTTTCTTTCAGCTTCCCCGCGTATTCTCCATCTTTTTGAACTGCCGAATCAGTGCTGGTCATTGATTCAATGGTCTCAGTACGATTTGCGCGATCAAATCATTGCTACTCAAGCCCTTATTGAGGAATCTTCTACGTCGCAAAACTAACAATGCCGTCAACAGACCCGTTCGGAGACGAGCATACCTCGCCTATCTTGCATCCCTCCCATCTCACCGGATACAGCCATCGCCCTCCTTCCCCAGGGCAACCATTGGAACCTGGCTACCAGCTCTCGGACAACCCATATACATATGCGCCCCAGTCGCATCTTGTGATGCCATCCAGTGATCGCTTGGCCGAACAACCTACTGTGAGTATTACGAGATAAGAGCGAAAATTGCTACAATCAGTACTGATTATCTACCTAAAAAGTACTCGGTCGAACATGTTGATAGCTCTTATGGCCATCATCCCGCATACGACGCACAACGTCCCTATCCTGGTCACGAGTATTCGCTTGACCCTGAAGCCCATCACGACGCCTACTATACCCAACCCTACGAGCCGACACACACCCCACACGATGATTATGATCTAGGCCAGTACCCAGAGGGAGGACAAACTCCCTTTGAAGCTGACCAGCCCATCCTGCAAACGGGCGAAAACCCCTTCGGGCCGGACCCGTACACCGAGTTCCATGATGAACCGCGCCCGACGCCCAGCCCAGCGCCTATTCGCCGCTGGAAGACGGTGAAAGAAGTCCAACTTTTCAACGGCAACCTCGTCCTTGATTGCCCCATTGCGCCGCGACTGCTCAGCCAAATACCCCACGCAGAGGCCCCAGGTCGCGATGAATTCACGCACATGCGATATTCGGCAGCGACATGCGATCCTGCTGATTTCTTCGAAGAGCGGTTTACCCTCCGTCAGAAGCTTTTCGCAAAGCCTCGCAACACCGAACTGTTCATTGCCGTGACCATGTACAATGAAGATGACTTCCTTTTCGCGCGCACAATGTCCGGTGTGTTCAAGAACATTGATCACATGTGTTCGCGCACAAGCAGCAAAACGTGGGGCAAGGATTCGTGGAAGAAGATTGTAGTCTGTATCATTAGCGACGGTCGTGCCAAGATCAACCCCCGGACGCGCGCTGTGCTGGCAGCCCTGGGTGTGTACCAGGACGGAATTGCGAAGCAACAAGTCAACGGAAAGGACGTGACTGCGCATATTTACGAGTACACCACTCAAGTTGGATTGGAGGTAAAGGGCACACAGGTGCATCTCAAGCCTCGATCCGGGCCGCCTGTGCAGCTGATTTTCTGCTTGAAGGAAAAAAATCAGAAGAAAATCAATTCTCATAGATGGTTCTTCCAAGCTTTCGGCCGTGTCTTGGATCCCAACATCTGTGTCCTTTTGGATGCGGGTACCAAACCTGGTAGGGACTCGATCTATCACCTCTGGAAGGCTTTCGATGTCGAGCCTATGTGCGGTGGTGCATGTGGTGAGATCAAGGTCATGCTGTCTCACGGCAAGAAATTGCTGAACCCGCTGGTGGCTGGTCAGAACTTCGAATACAAGCTCAGCAACATTCTCGATAAACCGCTTGAGTCTTCATTCGGTTTCATTACTGTGCTGCCTGGTGCATTCTCCGCCTACCGGTTTGTCGCACTCCAGAACGACAAGAACGGACAAGGTCCACTAGAGCGATACTTCCTAGGCGAAAAGATGCACGGTGCCAATGCCGGTATCTTCACAGCCAATATGTACTTGGCTGAGGATCGAATCCTGTGCTTCGAGATTGTCTCCAAGCGGAAGTGCCGATGGCTTCTTCAGTACGTCAAGTCATCGACTGGTGAAACCGACGTGCCTGATCAGATGGCCGAGTTCATTCTCCAGCGTCGTCGTTGGCTGAATGGCAGTTTCTTCGCTGCAGTTTACGCCATTACCCACTTCTACCAGATCTTCCGTAGTGATCACAGCTTCATTCGCAAGTTTATGTTGATGATTGAGTTCGTCTATCAGACAATTGCGATGATTTTCGCGTGGTTCGGAATTGTACGAATCTCCCCATCATTTTTTTTAATATATGCTAACACTCTGCGCAGGGTAATTTCTTCTTGGTCTTCCACATCTTGACAACATATTTGGGCTCAGATGATCTACTGGGTACTGCTGGCAAAGTTCTCGGCATTGTCTTTGAGTGGCTATACTTGGCAACTCTCGTTACGTGCTTCGTTCTAGCTCTCGGTAATCGACCCGGCGGATCAAACAAGTTCTACATGACCATGGTATATTTCTGGATTGTGATCATGATATACCTTGCATTCGCTGCCGTCTTCGTCACGGTCAAATCAATCCAGACAGAGGTCGAATCGAACACCTTTACGGTCAGCCAACTGTTCACCAATAAGACGTTCTTTTCTATCATCGTCTCCCTTGGATCGACCTATGTCATGTGGTTCCTCGCCTCATTCATCTTCCTGGACCCATGGCACATGTTCACTAGTGTAAGTGACCATATGGATCTAATTTTGTTGAATCTTCTAACATCCTCCAGTTCATTCAATACATCTTGCTCACGCCAACCTACATCAACGTCCTCAACATCTACGCCTTCTGCAACACCCACGATATCACATGGGGTACTAAGGGAGATGACAAGGCCGAGAAACTGCCCTCCGCGCACCTCAAGCCCGGCGGTAAGGTCGACGTCAACATTCCACAGGACGACGGCGATCTGAACGACCAGTATGATGCGGAGCTTGCCAAGTTCTCCATGAAGCCCCCCAAGGAGATCACAGTTATTTCCGAGGAAGAAAAGCAAGCCGACTACTACAAGGGATTCCGCAGTGCCGTCGTGCTCGCCTGGGTATTCTGCAACTTTGCTCTTGGTGCCGTTGTTCTGAGCGCTGCCGGTTTGGAAACCTTCGACGACACATCCACTACCAGTTCCGACGATGCGCAGACCGAACGCTCCATGATTTACATGGAAGTTGTTCTCTGGAGTGTTGCTGGTCTTTCAATGTTCAAGTTTATGGGTGCAATGTGGTATCTGGTTGTTCGTATGGTGAGTTGTCTTCCTTGCAAGGTTTTTTTTTCATCACGTACTAACATTATATTCTAGTTCCGTGGCGTTTGATTCAGCGAGCTCTTAAACATGATGATTGTGTTCCTTTGCGCCAATGCTATGTTTTCATATATCCCCTGATTTTATCCGGATTTGGTCTTGGTTACAATACCACGGCGGGCCCGGTCTGGTACGCAAATGAAAATGGAAATGGAAATGGAAATGTAATATGTTTGATGACTTCCCAGCGATGTGTTTTTCGTCCTTTGTGACATGCGGAATGACATGATATCGTGATCCGTCTGGTTTGGTCTTTTCTTTACATCTCGACTTGGTGCATCCTTTGCATGTGCTTGCCCTTGCATATGTATCCTTGGGCTCATGCTTTTGCTTTTATTTTATGGCGTGGAATTTGTGTACTCTATCTGTCGATATGGAGGAGAATATTATTTCCGCCAATTCTGTGTTCATTGCAAAGAAACTGTATTTTTGTAGGTCAACCCGAAGCATCACATGAACCACGCAGTAAAAGTCAGGGTTTAGTTTTGCGAGGTTTCAATTATTGAATATAGTGATATCCTTCCATTAACTATGAACTTCCCTATGAGGTACCAAAAAAGCATCGTCCAACAAGTGTCTAGTGCACCAAATACACTGACACCAAATATATCAGCACCAACTCCGTAACCCAAATCGAAAATAACTTCAAGAAGCCTGATTCTTAGAATGCACACATAATGCAATCCCTCCAAGTACCAGCCCCATCCCCAACCAAGTCTCCTTCGCAATCACCTTGCGGTCAACATACCACTCCCCAAGAACCGTAAACAAGAACGCACTCGAGTTTGCCAGCGGCACAGTCAAAGAAAGTTCTACACAGCAATGCGTTAGCAATTCCGCACCCCAAACGGCAACACTAGAACCTAAGAGCAAAGAAAGCCAATAGCACTCACCATGTTTCCCAACAAGCAAAAAAAACCAAATACTGCCCGTGAGGTTGATAACCAAGGGAATCGCATACGCAGGCGTACGGAGCAGATTAACAACCGTCCAGAAAATAGAAACAATCTTCGCCCGCAGCCACGACTGCTTCACCGGACCTCCGTGTCTCCACGCCGGCATGGGCACATCGTCCTCGTCCTCGTCTGCGCCGCCTTCCCTGTCTTCCGTATCGCGGCTCCCGCTCTGTTCAGCAAGTCCAGCATCCGGACCCGCGGTCTTTGGTTTCCGGTTCACGTCACTGCTCGTACTCCGCCTCGGCACATCGGCACCGGAGTCGCTGTCTTCTTCTTCCCGAGAGAGTAATTCCTGTGCCTCGCCCGCGTCTGTGAACCCGGCTCGCGCCGAGTCTTGTGAGCGTCTTCTTCTGCGCGCTGAGGTGGTTGAGTCGTTTGCTTGCTTCGCTTGTCGGGCGTTGAAGTCTGCTGCTGCGCGCCGGATAAAGGGGGTTGTGAAGCCCCATGCGACGCCGACGAGGAGGAAGGAGAGCACGTAGTTGAAGACAGAGGGGGCGGGTTCTATGGGAATTCCGGGATCTGGATCCATGTTGGTGTTTTGGGACCTCGAAGGGTGTCTAACGATTGGTTGGTTTGTTGCGCGGTGTTACTGCGGCCTTGACGTTGATGCAGATGTGTCCGGACCGTTGGTCTGTGCGTTACTGATAAGACGGATAAGGTTTCTAGTGACGATCCTTGGATCTATAAAATGGATCCAACGGTTGGAATGCTTTATTTTAACCACAGTAGATTGATATAGTATTGAAGAGACTGAGTAAAATGATAAGATATTAGACTGGTTCGCCTGTTAGGGTTTCACACCGTGGAGGCTTCAATCACGTCTGAATGAATCGACGAATTGACCAGTCAATTGCCAACAACCCACAGCCAACAACCCACATATAACGGACAACGGACAACGGACACAGACAATACATAACAACCAACAACCAACAGCCAACAGACAACAGACACAGACAACAGACAACAGACAACAGACAACAGACAACAGACAACAGACAACAGACAACAGACAACAGACAACAGACAACAGACAACAGACAACAGACAACAGACAACAGACAACAGACAACAGACAACAGACAACAGACAACAGACAACAGACAACAGACAACAGACAACAGACAACAGACAACAGACAACAGACAACAGACAACAGACAACAGACAACAGACAACAGACAACAGACAACAGACAACAGACAACAGACAACAGACAATAAATAACCCACAGCCCACACCCACAAGCCCACAAGGATACTGCACAAGATAAGCATCAAGTGCAGAATTTGCTCTCAGTAGGTCAATTGCGAGCCTCCGATCAAGCTTGCCCGGCCGTCACAGAGGGTGTCGCCACGTCCGATGGATGTGCATCACCAAGACCGATTCATCACAGAGCAAAGTGCCCACCACCCTCCTTCTCCCCCGAACCCACTTCCACCAGAGTCCACAGCACCAGAAGAGCAGATCTCCTATGTCCGTTGCTTAGGCGAACGCCGAGGCTTGAGAAGACGAACGCCCCACTGTGTCCGAGAAACGAGTCCTGGTGTGCTTCATATCTCTGATGCGCTCAAACGGTCGCCCGTGCAGCGTCCCCCTATCTCTCACCAGCAGCTCCTCCTCCTCTTTATGTGTCCTCACTGGCATCTTGAACCGTGGCAGTCCCTGCCAAACCCCACCGTTCTCTCACCAGCAGCCCATCCTCCTCTTTATGTGTCCTCACTGGCATCTTGAACCGTGGCAGCCCGCTGCCCATCCCCCTTCAGTGCCGCTCGTCACAGGTGAGTCTGCTGTCGAATGCCCCCGCCAGTTGTCCTCCACCGTCGTCCCCCATCGTCGTCCCCGTCGTGTCCCCATCGTTCCAGGTGAGTCTGGTGTTGAAGTGTTAGTGTCCTAGTGTTAGTGTCCTAGTGTTAGTGTTGTTAGTGTGAAGTACCATTGTCATTGTCAAGTGTTAGTGTGGAGGGGTTAGTGTAGGAGGGTAAGTGTAGGAGGGTAAGGGAGGAAGTGTTAGTATGGAAGTCCTAATATGGAAGTGTCAGTATCAAAGTCAAGTGCCAAGTGTCAAGTGTCCTACCTGGTGTCGAAGTGTCGTGGTGTGGCGGTGTGCGTTGTCGCAAGCAAAGAAAGGTGAAGTGAAAGAGGAAGAAAGAGAGAAGAAGGAAATTGGGGGGAGGGGGTATTTATAGGTTGTGGGAAACAGCACAACCTCTGAAATGGGAAGGCACGTAGAGACCTACTGGCACGTGAAATAGGCAGGTGCATGTCAATACCCTGCCATTGTCACTTCGACCCTATTCAAGAACAATAACCTGTCATTGTTGCCTCAATCCTATTCAAGAACAATGGATATCATGGTTTTTATATGTCCTACTTGCTTGCCCAGGACTCTAGATATTCACGAGATAGTCAATGTATTGTCTTAGCTACAGTCTATAGACCTTGGGGATGTCCCGATCTGAAGGGTCCATCCTTCCTGCTGGGTCGTTCCTTCCCTTTCTGTCGAAGAGCTAAGCGAGTTGATCAAGAGTTTGCATGATTTGCAGGAAGGCACACCGTAAAGCCCTACACCCTACACCCTACACGCACAGATCCTCGTCCATCTTTCTTTTTGCTCTCTTGTACTTAATGTTTTGATTGAAATGAATGCACTCTTTGGTTTTAATAAGTGGCTCGTCGTAGGAGACCTCGAATATCAAGGCACGGTCTGTGGTAGATTGCACATGTCAAGCTATTCATATCTAGGAATTATACGCTACGGGAGTCACCCAAGCAACCAGTAAGATGTGTAGTACCTATTAGCACGTCTTGTGTGAGCTTTCGTCTTTATTTCTCTCAGAGATATATCCAGTTGCACCATATAGCCCGCGATGAAGAACTGATGCTGATGAGAAGCTCATTGTCCACTTGACAGATTGGGAGGTCGGCCTACTGTGGAGATGTGAGCATGGCTCCTGAGAATGGCTTATGGTAACTTGCAGTATGAAGAAGCTTAATTTTACGGTTGCAATAGGTACTTAAGTAGAGTAAATTTGACACGAACGGGTATCATGAAGTGATATATATGGCAAGATATATATATGTAGTGTATTAGGACAATGTCTCTTTATGCAACGCAGTGTAAAAGACTCAATATAACCAAATGTAACATAGATATACAGCAACATCAGTAGCTGGCCCAAAAAGAAACATTAGAAGGAAGGACAAAAACACCGAAAAATGGCAAATATTAACATGGAGGCAGTGACACAATCTACTTGGCACTCTTCGATTTTTTCCCAGGAATGAATTTCATCATCGAGGCCTTCAGATCCGCACTGTTCCACCGCTTCACGCGGACAAGATAGTACATGAGAGTAGCCACGAAGGTGTTGAAAATAATGAAAGCCCACATAATACCGAAGTTGCGCCACCGATCACCGTAGTAGATACCGGCCGTCTCCATGAACTGATCCGCAACTTTGAGAGAGCAGTAGCCGCACTCACTCGTGGCGTCGGGATTAGTTATCTGTCCACCAGCGGCGGCGGCATACTTCATGAGGTACTGCCCGCAAGTATAGCCAGAGGGAGGATTGAAGATGGCTAGTTCGGCGGTCGAGCACACCACCTGGCGATTGTGAAGCTGTGTGCTTGCCATGCCGCCGATCCAGTATGTGAATGGCGAGACGCGGTACATGAAGATCCAGAACCCGGGAAGAGCATCGGGGGGCTGCATCACACCACAGAAGGTGAGAGACATCGCGAAGAGAAGAACGACGACCGCGCTGGCGGTGGTTTCGTCTGGGAGACCAGCAATGACCATGTGGGTGAAGGTGCTGGCGTAGATGAAGAAAATAATGCAGAACAGGAGGACGGTTCCCTGGGTCAACGAATCGGGGATTCCAACGACGGCATAGAAGTAGGAGCCATAGGTCAATATACCCATGATGACCATGTAGGGCAGCTCCACAACCATGTTGGCGATGAGGAAAGCTTTCCAGGAGTAGGATTTGCTGGGACGTTCACGTCCCTCGTAGAGTGATCGCTGGCTGACGAAGACGGGCATGATCTGGTGAGATTAGCGTATGTTCACTTGCTTGATTCTAGATTTGGCTTACCTGTTGAGCCAATGACGAGAAGATTGTACAAATCATGAACAAGGAGTAGACGACAGTCTGCATGCCTTGCAGCGATGTTTTGGCACCATAGAAAGAGAAACCAATGAATAGACCAGAGACAATTCCAAGTCCCCATTTCGCCAAAATGTAGGCTGGCATGCGCCAGTATTGCTGGAACACGCGGTATGTGACTTCGTTAATCTGGAACCAGAACGGCATGGCGAATTCAGAGTGATTTTGTGCTGAATCATCAGTGGCGGGGGGTTCATTTTCCTTTTCTTTATGAATTCGATTGATCTCATTCTGGACCTCCGTGCTTTCGTTGCTCTGCTTCCACACGTCGAACCAGTCCATGCCCTTGTCATTCTGACCAGCGTTGACAATGCCCAGCATGTATTCAGCTGGGTTCTCGTTATCCGCACACTTCCGCGCACCGTTGGATTCGAAGTACTCGAGCATTGTGCTAGAGTTATCTCCAACCGGACCGAAGTACACAGTCTTACCGCCTCGGGCGAGGAACAGTAGCTGATCGAATTGTTGGAAGAGCATGGCGCTGGGTTGATGGATTGTGCAAAGAACTGCTTGGCCGTGCGAAGCAAGGTCGCGAAGGAATGAACAAATAGCCCAAGAACTCTGAGAGTCGAGACCACTGAGAAATAGTTAGCATTGGTAAGGAATGAATTTGTTGTATAGGGTACTTGCCTGGTAGGCTCATCCAAAAAGAGTAGTAGCTTTGGTTTGGCGGCCAATTCAACACCGATAGTCAACAGCTTGCGCTGCTCGACGTTTAGACCCTCACCAGGAACACCGACAATGGCTTCAGCAAACTCCTCCATCTTCAACATGCTGATCACATCCTCGACATAGGCATACTTCTCTTTAACCGAAACAGAGGCTGGCTGACGTAACATGGCACTGAATCGCAGAGACTCACGCACAGTAGCAGTATCGAGGTGAAGATCCTGCTGTTGAACATAACCTGTCTTGCGCTGGAAACTCTGATCCAGTGGACGACCATTGACAAACATATCACCAGTAATAACACCCATCGATGTACGGTGTGCTAATACATCCAGCAAAGTGGTCTTTCCAGCGCCACTGACACCCATAAGTGCAGTCAGGGTTCCAGGTTTGACCCATCCAGAAACATTGTCCAAAAGACGACGTGGTTCGCCCTTAATCTCGATATCATAGCACACATTGCGCCAAGTGAAGGTATCTGTCTGAGCCTGGATAGCACCCATTCCTTTTTCCCCAGTACCCGCAGCAGCGTAGTCTTTAGATGTCTCGGTGCTTTCAACATCAGATCCAGACTTATGATCCTGGCGTAAACTGGCAGGCTCGTGACCGCGACGGAAGACGAGAGCTTCAGCGGCACTTGTAGTAGCGGAGTTCAGCTCGGTCGCGATAAAGTAGATGGCCATGAAAGCGATCAGGAAGCCTATCAGGATACCAAAGTTTCGCCAGACGTGGGCGTAGCTGTAGTTGTAGTTCATTGCCATGAACCGGTCACCGTTGACTGTTCTGGCGCCTGCCAACGAACCAGGCGCAGTGCAGCTGAATGCTTCTCCTGATAGGTCGGCATAGGAGGGAACGAAACTTGAGCAAGGGAACTCGCGAGCATGAAACTCGTTGGCAACCAGTATCTCGAAGGCGTAGAAGATCGGATTGAGATAATGAATCCAATTGAACCATGGATGCATAGACGGAATAGGGAGGACAAAACCGGTGTAAACAACGAGGATCAAAATCATGACGCCTGCGAGACCCATTGCCTGGGAAATAGTCTTGGTGACAGCGGCTAGTGTGCGGAAGATGGCACTCATGACGAACGTGATGATGAAAGTGATGAGGAAATAGAGGAAGAAGTTGGAAGGTTCTCGTTGTAGACCAGCTAGAAAGTATAGGATGATGTTGAACACGACAGATAAGACAAACTTAACTGGGATATCACTAATCACACCAGCAATAGCTTCTGTGAAAGGATGATAAAAGGCAAAGGAGGCATGTTTTTCGACGATTGGGCGTTGTGAATAGAGATTGTTGATTTCGGACATTGCTGTGAGGGCATTGAGCAGGACGGCGAAGAACAGAGTTGCACATTTCGAGGTAAAGCCCACAGTTGCATTCGGGGTATCGTAGAAGACAGATCCGATGATCAAAGCCATGATAATATTAGTGACCACCACAGATATGGTGGAGGCAGCATCGTTCCAGAGTCGTTGGTAGGCGCGAACGGTGTTGAGTCTGATTTGCATATAAACGCTGATGATGTATGGAGACTTGGGTCGAGTATGTTTAGCCTGGACGCCACGCTTCCAATTCTGTAAATCAGCTAGGGCTTGCACATCATCTCCAACAGGATTTTGTCCTTCATATTCAACAATTTCATTTAGCAATTGCTTGTATTCAGGTGACTTCAGCCATGCAGCCTCAAAGTCCGCAGGAGTACGGGGAACACGATTTTCCATGCCAGGCTTGGCTCTCCGCTCCTGGGGATTCGAGATCGAAGTGAGGAAATCTCCAGTAGTCTGCCGAGTCGGGCAATCCCACCCCTGGTTCTCAAAGTAAGACTTGGCTGCGGAAGCAGCCCCGAAGAATACTTGGTGGCCTTCGTAAAGTACAATCACCTTGTCA